TGATAGAGATCAAACAACTACAATACCCGAATCTCATATGCAACCTTTAGAACTTACCCTCATGATTGTCTCTATTCATTCAGGATCTCAGACTATACCATCACTGGACCTCCCAACTATCCAGTATTAACACTAACTCTTAATCTGGAAATAATGAACCATCATACTCCTTATCCTTGACTCCTTGCCTAACGCTTCGACATGTCCCTTATCATAAGAGCAGAAACAACATTTCCGCTCCATATACCCTTCAAAACAATAAAAGTCACCACCCTGATATACTCATCTTGATCGTCCAACGCTACAGCTAACACATGCCCTACTATACTCCAATAGGGTGTATCCAGGTCCTTGACCATCTCAGTCCCCGCTGACAACCTGCTTAAGCTATATCATTCCCTTGTGACAGGCCTACTGCCAGATACTCTGATTGAGGATCACAATCAGTGTGATCCCACAAGGCTCACTCCCAACTCAGAAACCGAAATCTCAACACCTCATACGTATCCCTTAGGAACAAAGATAGCACTACTCGGGTCACAAAGGTAACGTCTCTATTATCGCTCGGCTACCCGGCTCAGACCGTATTCTTCCATAACGCATCGTCCTTGCTCAATTCTAAGTCTTGCGACTCTTCTGGCATATCACCAGCAATCCCTCGGAGCTAACTCAATTTCCCTATCAAGGGATGCTCCACTGAAACTTGTTCATCCTGGCCATCTGGACCCATACTCTTTCACATCCGACCTTGGTCTAGATAATTATTGCAGAATAATCGGTAAAACCAAAAGCACTAAGCGTCACCTATCATGGTACTCGAACCACGATGTCTCCTCTCAATTTGTCACCAATCATGGTACTCGAACCATGGCATCACCTCTCGATCTGCTACCAATCATGGTACTCAAACCATGACATCACCTCTCCATCTGCCACTTAGAACCTCTGGGATACTCCCAGCATCGAGTATGGGTCCTCTGCTTTCAGTAGTACGGGACCATACTGCCTTCCACATCTACCCATACTCTCTATACGGACCACTCCAGATTCCCTAAGTAGCTGCTCAACCTCTTCTTCGCCAATCTCAGCATGCGTGCTCGCTCCCCAGCAAAATGCTCTACTCTGTCAGCGTACTCACCTGACTAAGGCCACTTCCTACGCTCTTCCTAGGTTCTCACATTTCTCCGCCATCAGTTGTTGAGAAACTCCTTATGATGCTAGTCATCCACCTCCTGAATATCGTCACATTCACTTGGTAGCTGACTCCCATCATCAGGAGTTCCACAAAGCACGAAGCAAGCAACATTCGGGCGTCGAATAACCACATATAACCCGCTTTAGGTGATAACTCCACTAGCTCTACTTATACTCAAAAGATATCACCGAACTCTGCAACTCTACCTCCCGTGGTATCTAGCTACTCTCTTGGTAGGTTTCACAATGCTACTCTAGGTATCTCTCCTAGATCACTCCTCTACCCAAATCCCTCTCTATAAAGGATTGGTGCTAGATACTCTACTGAGCACATACTCGAAAGTGCATCACAGAAAACAACAACTCCTAGGCTAAGGCATCACAAATCAAGCCACTCCAATACTAAAATATGATATACCTTGCCTATCTCTAGCATGCAAAATATCTCATAACATATTTCATAACACAAATGTAATGGTATTTTGGGAAATCACCGTTCGGGCTCTGGCTGGCTGTACACACTGCTCCTTCCGCTTTCTCTTAGAAACTCTTACTTGTTTTAGAAAAATCATTTATTTTGAAAAAATTTCCTCATTTCCTCAGTTTGAGTCCAGGCATACCCGAAGTACATCCAAATCCCTCAAACCAAGGCTCTGATACCAACTTGTAACACCGTAAATTTCAAAACAATTTTTCTTTTGAAAAATTATAATTCTCAGTACATATTTCACAAAACATCATTTATTAAAATCGCAAAACATAGCTCCATGTTTAATAAAATGGTAATCCAGGATCCTCTTAACTCTTTCTCTGGTGTGTACAATCAAGTTGGTTCCATCCCGCGATCTAAATAAGAAAAACCTGAAACACATAACACACAACACGGTAAGCACGAAGCTTAGCAAGTTCCCCAAAATACCACATACAACACATATTAGCCACTCGAGGCTATAACTCTGTTTGACCCTCTGGTTAATGTGTCTCAATGGGACCCTCCAGTCCCATAACTCTGTGGACCCTCAGGTCCTAACTCTGTGGACCTTCCGGTCCTAACTCTGTAAACTCTGTAACATACGTAGCATAAATCACATAGAAATAATACAGTGTATCACATCATATATATATATATATATATATATATATATATATATATATATATATATATATATATATATATATACTCTAACACATAACTCTAATGACCAGTCTAGGTAAAGTACAGTGAGAAGACTTACCTCGGATGAATAACAGCTCCTATAATAACTACTGCTACGCACCAGACTCTAACTCTATGCCAAACCCACAATAAATCTCAATTAGGAGCTAAGTCCAACCTCTCACTCATTGGGTCTACAGATAGACCACCTAACAGCCCATTAATACCCTAAGCTCATTGGGCCCACCAAATCCCAATAATAAATAGGTCCTCACACAGCCCAATTCCCAACTAAAAAGGCAAGCCCGAACCAAGGGCCCCAAAGCACATATATACACTCCGATGGTCCAAGACTCTATTGTATGAAACCCAAACTCCAGGCCCAACACTCAAGGCCCAAAACATAACTCAAAAGCCCACAGAAGGAGTTACGTGGGGCGTACCTTCCCTGGTACGCTGAGCGTACCCAAACATTCAAGAAACTGATCGGGGACCTCAACCAAGTACGCGGGGCGTACGGGAATTACGCGACGCATACCTCCAGACTAGTTTAATCCATTTTCTGGGTCTTAACCCATTAAGACCTTAGCTCAACTCTTGGATCTGGACTTCCTAACATCTCTTACTCCATAAAGTTAACAACTTTAAGCCTTTGCATGGCTGATAAGGTCACAACACATAAAAACTATTACTTTCTTAAGCCAAAATGCTCATAACTCATGCATGGGTAGATTCACACGATCAAGGCCTTATTTTTATGGTTCTCCACCACTAGAAACACTTAAAAGGACAGGTTATTAAGCTCTGGAGTGCATCAACTCATAAAACCTCAAGCTTGGGACCAAAAACCCTAAAATGGACCCTAATATGCACAAAACAAAAAGAGAGGGAAATCTTGGAGCTTTATACCTTGAAATGGTGCTCTAGCCCCAAGAAAGCTCAGATCCACAACTTGATCTTCAACTTCACTCCCTTCCATGCTCCTTCTTAACTCTCAAAAGTCCACAAGAACACAAACAAGCTCATCATGGCAACCACAAGCTTCGAGAACGGATATTAGGGTTTGATAGGGTTTAATAACTGAGGAAGGTGGCCAGAAATAAGACCATCTCTTTCTTTTTATAGGGACACTTAACTTAATTAGGGTTTCCTTTTGTGCCTAGTACGCTCAGCGTACCCCCCGGTACGCCCAGCGTACTAGGTGGCTCTTGCTTAATAAACACGCGCATCTGTACGCTAAGCGTACGCATACGTACGCCTAGCGTACTTCGCTGCCAAAATCCTCACTTAGGGACTTATCTTGCCAACTCTCCCAAACTTCCATAGCATCTTCGAAATGACTCGAATTCCAAAAATCCTCATACCTACGGAAAGCTAATGAGATGCCCTACGTTTCTAGCAGCTCGCCTCATCCCGAGGCCTCCTAGCCCCCGAATCGTGGCCCATAAACCTTAATCATGGGTAATCTGAAACCGGATGTTACACCATTCCTACAGTTAAATACAAAGAGGCAGTTAGAGAGAGGGTTTGAAGATAGGGAGAGAGAGAGAGACCTTGACAAGGTCGTTTCTTTATTTCCGGCATAAGGTTGATTGCTAAAAGAAAACATCAATAGAAAGACACCAGATATAGAAGGCAGACCAATATCAGTAATATCCTCCTCTAATCATGTTGCACACAACACACAGATGGATAAATCATGCTCATATCTCCATTTTTTGTTTGTGTGTCAATGAAGGATAAGATATAGAGAAGCAGTTGGTTGTGGTGGTCGTAGATCTAGGGTTATTTAGATGAGGCTGTTGTGCAATTATGTGTATGTTGGCGTTTAGGATTACAAATTAGAGGGGATATTTGATATGGCTATTACTAGGTCTTATAAGAGGCTCCCAGATCTGACTCGTTTAGATTCAGACTTTTTGTTACCACAATTAGAAGCCTATAATTTTGCTTTATATGTTGTCTCTGATATGCCTCTTATTGATATGTTTTTTATTGGAAATGATACGAGGTTGGGTCTGACTTAATCAGACATTGACTTAATCAACAACTATCAAATAATGACTAACCCAAATGACCATTCACAAAGGATTTTTTGTCTTTGATTTATGGTTTCACGGATTTATGGTCTCCGATTTTTGATTTATGGTATCCGATATGGTTTTTGTTTAGCAATACAATATACATTTATGGTCTCCGATTTGCAATTTCATTAACGATTGGCTTGGATTTGGTTTGAAGAAAGTGGATAATGGTTTGAAGATTCCATGATGTTAATTTGGATTTGAATTTAAGTTTCTATAATTTTTTGATACAGCTTGGCTTTGATTTCAACATTTCATGCTCCTCATGATGAAATAGTTAAATCTTGTATTCAACCATCAATTCCTTTAATCAACAACTATCTAATTTCATCTTCATAATAAAACGTGTAGAGATTTCATGTTCTTCATGTTAATAATCATTTAAATTGAAAAAAATAGTAATAAAAACAATAGTTATTTAAAATTATATTTTGAATTTTAATGGAAAATTTTATGAGGATGCCATGTGTATCAATTATGTTGACCCGAGTCCAAATTTCGGATAATGATTTATTCGACACCAAATTTGAAAGTTTAAGAATCTAGAATGCATAAAAATAGATTAAGGACCAACTCAGTACAAATGTTAAAGCTTTCCTAATGCCCCAAAAGTTAGGCTTTGTGTCTTAAATGATGCAATGATCTGGATTCGATTTTGGTGTTCATGGTGATCTATGGTCACGAAGGTGCTTTTCATCAGACAACTGTTTTGCGAAGCTGTCCAAGAAAAATACATTATCAGTAACAGAGTAGATAAATGAATCCAATAACAATTGATGAAGATGCATACTCTTTGAGAGCCTCTTCATTAGTTTTTTCACTGTAGGGCTCAAAGTTGCCGGTTTGCAAGTTGACCTTTGAAACTTTCCTTTTTAATAATCGTTCACCCGTTTCAATCAAACATTCCAAATTGTGCTTCGTAGCTCTATGTAGTGAAGATAATGTGCTTTCTAAGCCATCCTCCTGTGTTCATAGAATTCTATGTTGGAAGATCATCACTATGCAAATTAATAATCTTTAGCTAACTCCTATCTAAATTTGTATGTGTAGTTATTTGGGACGCTTTATATTTTTAAGCCAATGTTTTGTAGTAATAACATAAAGTTCATAAACAAACCTGGATACGTAGGTAATTTTTTTCAACGTCAAGGGCTTTGAAGAGAACAGAAAGGTGGATATCAACCATATCAGTGCTAGATTGAGAGAAAATATCAAGTAAAGGAGTCGACAAATTAAATACATTCAACGACCATCCTAAGACGCCCCATTTTGAAGCCTTATTCACGTTATATTTCCATATCTTTTTGCATTCACCAGTTCCAATAGATATAACCAAAAATCTACGATACTCAAGGGATTGAGGTATGTGAAGAAAGTCATTATTTTTGCGAATAAGTTGCTTGGCAATTTCTCCCATGGCAATAAGTGTCTGTTACAGAAGAAAAAATAAATAAGAACTGATGGCCATAGGAAGAGAAATCGATATCTTTCAAATTATTTGTCACAAAACTTTTATAGTTCTTGTCCTGTTGAAGTCAAGTGTATTATATCAATATGCGAAGAAAAAAGAAAGTTTTCATATATGAATTCCGAGTGATAAATGGCTCAAGTTGATTCAATTGGTTTGTTTATTTGATAATGTTGTGTCTTCAATTTCTTTTTGTGAGTTTTATGATCTACATCTTGTGATGGTCATTGAGAAATATTAACGGAAAATGATTTAAAAGCCCAACAAAGTTTCCAAACCATTCAAAAAACTTGAATCATGTTTTGTCTGTTCAAAAAAACTCAACGAAGTTAACTTTTTGTCTAAAAAGTCCAACAAAGTTCCAAACGGTTCAAAAAATCACAATTTTGTTATGTTTAATTTCGTTGGATTTTTTTAAACAGTCAAAACATGATTGAAGGTTTTTAAACGTTTTGTAAGTTTCGTTGGTCTAACAAATTATTTTCTCGATATGGTAATAAGCCACGTCATTTGTTTCTTTTATTTGACTTTCAAGAAAGTGCAACTTATTTAGGTTTTTTAGACAAAATATTAAGTTAATTGGATTTTTTTAAACAAACAAAACATGATTTTGGTTTTTTGAACAGTTTGAAAACTATGTTGGGCTGTAAGTCATTTTCCCAAATATTAAAGCAGATTAACAAATGATTTTACTTTTCAAATAAATAGTTCAAATAAGTATTTTACCGGATTATTTGCTGCCATAGCACCATCAACTAGGTTAAACTCATGCTTGTGTCCCTGATGATTGGTTTCAAAATGATGTGGTGGAAGAAAAATCGGCGCTGCTGATGTTGCGATGCAAATATCCGAGAGCAAGGCATTCAAATATGGTTTTTCCTTTATCTATCAACAGAAAAAGATGGCATGGACATTTTATTGTATAATGTTTATGCTTAGAGACAATAATAAATACACCCCATAATAGAAAAAAAGAGAAAATTAACCTCGTAGCTGGAAAAGATTGTTGGTTGGAGTGTATTGATGTCGAAGGTTGGTATAACAATATTAGTTAATGTATCTTCTAGTTTGGCGTTTCTAAGCCTCTTCCTTATGGAGTTGTGGAGGTACTTCCCATCATATACCGGCCCCATTAGGCTCTTTATAAATTTTTTAAACATATTGCTGTTTTCAAGAAAATTATAAATTATGTCAATATATTTTTTTTTTCAGTGAGCAAGCCTTAAATGATAAAGTCCAAAAAGAGGTAAGTAGAATAGTGTGCAAAAGAGTTGACATCCGTGCTCTGACAAATATAAGAAACAATAAAATAAAGAAAAAAAATAGATATATGCCTACTTGGCTACTTGTGACTTCCTTGTTTTCATGAAAGAAAATAAAGAAAACAACTAGGAATAAAGAAAATAATATGTGTAGTGTGTGAGATATTCTCATTTTCTTTAAAAGGCTAACCCAAACATTGAAACATATATCTAATCCTACACCTAAATCTACATAACAAGAAACTCGAAAGTTCAACCACTTTGGATGACACATTTGCAACAAGGTTATCCCAAATGCACTATAGTCTATATTCTCATCTAAAAAGACTATTCTCTTCTAAAAAGGAAGACTATATTCTCTTATTCAATTAGGGTGAACTACTAGAAATCGTTTTCTTTGGATGATTAAGCTCATAATATTTCGAAATTCAGCTTAATTACATGTGTTGTTAATTACCAATCTTGAGGGAAGATCTTTGGAGAATTTTCGAGGTAGAATTTCTTGATGGCCTTAGCGGTAAACATAGGGCGCTTTTCTTCATTAGGAGCCGTTAACATCGCAGTAATGAGACCACCAGTACTTGTCCCAGCGATCATATCAAAATAGTCTGCTATTCTTGCGTCTTCACCATCTATTCTCTGAGCAACAAATAAAAAATATGATTGCAAAGAACAAGAGTTCTCAGATTTGTAAGATGACAAAGATATCATACAAGTTCAAACGTAAAAACAGTTAAGATTTTGAGAAATCAAAGGAAGCATGTTATACCTTAAGCTCATTCTCAAGAAAGTCGAGTATAATAGCTGGTATAAGACCTCTGATTCCACCTCCATCGATGCTAAGAACTGTGATCAACTTCCCAAAAACTGGTGGGTGTTGCACTGACGTCGTTCTCTCCACTTGAGTTACACAACTCAAATTTCTCCGTGTATATCTGTATAAGTTTGTCGATGACTCCTCTTCGATTCTGGCAGTTGATGCCTTGTATACCTTAATCGCAATCCTTCGTAAATTAAGCATTACGAGTCCCATACATGAACTATATGATAGAATGAAAACGTGATTCAAAATTCACACTGATAATGAATTGTAATGGTAAATAGTTTTGGTGACATGAAGCGTCGTTTACTTATAGTACAAGTATTTATTATTATTATTATTATTTTTGTAATAATTCACGTGGTTGAGGAAAATGTTTGAAAAGACCGGACGATTTAAATTGTCTTTGGTGGTTGTGTTTGACTTTTGGACTTTTAGTTTCCTCCTTATGGTCGTTTTTTTTTTTGTTGGAGAGTAGTGTTTTGGGAGAAATAATAATTCATTGCCTATTTTGTTCCAATACCAAATTCTTTGTATTATTTTGTGTTGTAGCATTTTGTGTTGACGCCTTGATTCGGTATTCACATGTTTGTGAATCAACTAGTTTGGAAGAAATCAGGGTTGTCATTCGTATGAGAATCAACACCCACGATGGGTTTACCCAGTTCTAGGGTTTTTCCTTGTTTTTTCATGTTTCCCTGCACTAGTTGGTATAGAGCGATTCCAAAATAGGTATTCCATGTAACCTCGTGTTTTCTTTTTCGATTACCTATCAGATTTCCTTTTTAGCAACTCAAATTTAATAAATTGAAGAGTATTATTTTGGAATTTAGTAATTATGAATATGTTTAATGAGATTATGTCTAAATCAAAATAAATAAGAATAATCATATAATGTCGTTACTCCATTCTTAATTGTCAACTAATTTATAACTTATATTTTATTTAAATATCTAGAAAGAAAAGGTCTTATAGAAATGTTGATTAATTTGATGTACACTCCAGTTAGGGGCTGGGTGTAGGACGTTATATGGTCTTCTCCGACAAATGAATAAATGTACAGGAGTATATGTGTTCGAATCAAACTTCCCACCAGAGAAAAAGATGTGGTCAGGGAGGGAGGCTTCGCCGGAGTTAGGCATCACTAGTGATTTGAGGGTGTGTTGGTCATCTAAAGGTGAAGGGATGTCTTTATCACATTCATTTCATTTTGGTAGAGATTAGGTTATTTGTAACTTTTAGGCTTTTATTTTAATTTCTGATGGACCAATTGTAGATTAAATATTTATATTTATGGATTTAATAATGAAATTGGGCTTTCAGGTATTCGGTTAAATGTGGGATAAATCTAGTGGGAGTCAAGCCTTATCACCAAGTAATTAGAGCAAAATCTGATTGATTAGAGGTCGTTTACTTAAGATAAATGTTGGTAGATAATTATGTGATTATGGTTAAATTAAATTAATTACAAGATAATTAATCTAATTAGAACTAAATGGATTAATAAACTTGTATGGATTTTAAGGTCCAAAAACTAAAATATTGTGCAGTTAAAATAGTAATAACATTTAAGGATAGTATCTTAACTCCATGGCTAATTATAGATAATGATATTTATCAAAGCCTATCTTATATTTAACAAGGTTCTAAAAAGCTCGTCATGGCTCCAAGGCTTGTATGTGCCGCCAAACTTTACCAAAATGTCGTCTTGACTCATATATGTATATAAATATAAATAATAGTTGAAAATGCATATAAAAATATGAATTATATACAAAATTACCGCCTTAAGTCACGTCTTACAAACGACGTGACTCGTTATGGTTCGGAAAAGCTTGAGGCTTGACGGTACCGCCAAGTTACGCCTTACATTATTTAGAACCTTGATATTTAATGACTGAGAGTGAAATAGTAGACGATAAATTTGTGATTACATATTAACTTAAATGGGTTCATTGAAAAATCAATAAATAATATAAAAAAATTGTTATAACATGTATTTTATATCCCTAAAAAGCTAAGGAGACGTTCTTTAAAAATAAGTGTTAAGCTTTCAAAAGAAATAAGGATAAGATGGGTAAATCGGTTCGCAAGTCATGATATATTCATGGATTGCGATTCACAAATATTAAATTCCAATCTGATATCAAGTGTTTACGATCGTAAGTTGCGACTAGATGGGAAGGATCATACGCTATCAGAATGTGCTCCTACAACTACAACTTTCATTCTGATTGTGATTGGTAGCAAATAGTCCAAAATACTCATTGTCATAATCTCTCTGACGTTCTCTCTATGGAATAGCAAATAGTTCGTAATACGTAACAATTTTCGATAGACACACACCTTAGAAATACTCATTCATCGGATAGCCTAAGGGTCAGCTTTCATGAACTAACAAGAAATAAGAAACAACAAAAATCAAAGCATAATCATTACCGATGCACGTGCACCATATCAAGCTAGAGTCTTTCCCCGATTAGAGGTAGTCACAAAATCATATACGCAAAAGTTTGTTACAAAATCATATACGTAACACTTACATACTTCTCTTAACATAAGTATAAAGTTTAAATCATATGTAAGGCAATCTTAGCCCACTTCACCATCAAAGTGATATAGTAATTGAACCTATATGCCCTTTATACATTAATGCTTGGTTTTT